GGAAAGCGAATTTTGAGAATGATGAGGGCAACAAATGTATAAGTGTACTTTACACAACTGATGTATGTATGGATTGTGATAAGAGTTGTATGAGTCCCAATAAAATGATTTTTAAAAGCCCAAACAATAGTCTTCATTATTAGTTATACCTCAATATAAAGAAAGCAGAAATTCTTACAACTGGGCCAATAATTAATATCACCATAAAGAGAAAAGATTGAGACTGTCAAGCATTTGATTTGGCATGAATCTACAATTAACACCCATGGAAGCAACAGTTCAGAAATCAAACGATATATTGCCTTGGGCCAGTCTTCTCTTTAAAATGTGAACAATTAAAGATTTAGTTTGAGGACTGAGGTTTGCCTGACCCCAGCCATAGTATTTTCAGTTTTCTCATGTGCATGTGAAAGCGAGACAATTAATAAGAAGAAAGAGAAGGACCGACGCCTCTGAATTATGGTATTTGGGAAGAATATTAAATGGGCTGCATGAAGAGCTAACCAATATGGGAGAAATACAGGCAGAATACTTCTTAGCAGTGAGGATGGGGAGACTTGCCCTCCACAGCTTTGGTCATGTTATCAGGAAGGATCGGTTCCTGGAGAAGGTCATCATACTTGGAAGAATAGCGGGTCAGTGAAAAAGAGGAAAAACCCGGTAGGAGCTGCATCGATAGGCGGCAGTGATGGGCTCAAACATAACATTTATGACTATGGCACAGGCCTGGAAATTATTTTGTTCTTTGTACCTATGGTTTCTATGAGTCAAAACCAACTTGATGGCACCCAACCACAATATTTTAGAAATCTCTTCTCCCCCCTCCCAAGTCCCCCACCCCAGTGGCATAGTGGTTTCGTGTTGGGCTGCTAATTGCAAAGTCAGTCGTTTGAAACCACTAGATGCTCCAAGGGAGAAAGATGGGGCTTTCTACTCCTGTTAGAGTTACTTTCTCAGAAACTCACAGGGGCAGTTCTACCCATACCTGTCGTGTTACTATGGGTCAAAATTGACTCGATGGCAGTGAGTTGAGTATTTTCTTGTAGGAGTTGGGGGTACGGACATTTATAGGCTTATATACTCTAGGTTACAGAGTAACAAACTGTTCTTACAAACAGAAGGCATTTAAAAGCAACAAACCCATAATACCATTTTCATATTTTGAACTATTATGGCTTTGCATAATAATATGTAGACAGTGATAAACTACATCAGAAATGCTATTTTAATTTTTTGGCACAATGACATATCATGTTGTTTATAACTTCTTAAGAATATTGATAAATTACAAAGGTGACTTCTGTTTTATGAAGTAGGTAGTAGGGTTCATTTAAAAAAATAATTCTTGTTCAGTTTTCCTCAAAATATTGATTTCGATGAAAACACTTCATAAATATTTATGGTTTAACATATGACATAATAGACGGATAACACAAAAACTGAAGCACTAAGTCCTGATGTTGAGTAGTTGAAAACTGATATGGAAAAAAAGAGAAAGAAACACAAAATAATTAATAATGAGGAGAGATTGGAGTAATGTTCAAATACATCTATGCATATATTATGAGGAATATTAAATTTAATCTATAATAGTCTATAGAAAAGCTTTTGTTTTCATCATGAGTGATCCATCAATCTCTTGTATGTTCATTACATTCATCATAGTGGAATTCATTTCTTTAAAAGTCTCTAATATGATTTCCAGGATTGTGTGACTGATGTTAAAAGCTACCCTTGATTTTTTTTTTAATTGAGGGAAATATTTAAAAACATTTAAAATATTTATAAATGCATCAATGACCTCTTCTGTGGCAAATCATGAATAATGGAAAGCAGGGCAGAATTTATAAAATGTAAAACACCCATGAGACATTCTCATGCTTGCTCTCCTAAAGTGATAAAATGCTAAGAACATATTTAATTGTTTTATGTAAAATGTCAACCATATAATGTATATAATCCCAGTGTTTGCCACTTGGTCCAAACAATTAAAAATAAATTAGTTTATTCTGTTATACTAGTATAAAGCAGATTCCTTAATAGATTTAGCGAGTGAGTAAAGAAACAGGGTCAGAAATCAAAGCACTCGAAGACACTCATTGAGGTTTTTAAAAACTCTCCAATGTGGGAACACTTTGCATAGCAGGAACTCAAGTCCATGTGTGAGGCAGGCTGCTCACATGGTGAAAAACAAAACAACACCGCCCCCTCCCCTGCCCTCCCTCTGCCTCACCCCCCCTCACTCCATTGACATGCATAGCTGGCATGGTAGGTGTAAAAATAGACTGGCATCGCCTGAATTGGAAATGGTCACTGATGTCGCCTGCAGTTGCTGGGGTTTTGAGTTCTCCCTGACACCAGCTAGTCAGTAAGCAGATGGGGAGAACTGGTAAGGGGCGTGTAGGGGAATGAAGTAGAGGAGCCAAGGATCATTTTGATGAGCTGCCTCTGCTGGTGCACCCCGGGAGTCCTGGGCAGAGTGCAGAGGGCAAGAACAGACCCACTGAGAGCAAGGACTGGAACGCTGAGATGGGCAATGCAGCCCTCTGCCCGTCTTGCCATGTGGACAAGAGCAGACAAGTACCAGGCAACATGCAGGAACGGGACCAAACCCTGGACTACTATGGCTGTAACAGGGAGGACGTCACGGGACCTGGGGTGAGGGTAAGTTTTCAGGGGAGGACGAGGGAAGGAGAATTAACAGTGGCTCTCATTGGTCAGGCCTCAGCACTTCCTGGAAAGAAGTTGACAGAATAAAAGCATTGTGGTCAAACCACCTGACTGCCCCTGATTCACGGACAAGCTGCTGTTGCCTCTTCCTGTTCCGTCCTATGCCACATGCCTGTTTCTTCTGGTTTGCCTTTAACTGGGAACTGAATTTGTCCAATGCTGAACATTTGTTGCAGTATTATAGTACTACAGAGTGACTCTCAGCGAAAGTACAAAGATTGCTTTTCAATCAGACTGTCAAATTCCTTTGCTTTTGAAAATTGTTGGATAGTTTGTTTTTTCCTAGGCCATGGACAATTTTTTTTAGCCTGGGCTAACTCAGAATTTCTACTTCAGCTTGCACGTGAATTTTACTTCTAATATCTGACTGGTGAGAAGGGCTTGGGAGGCTGGTTTAGTTATGATGCTGCTGCTAAAGAAAAGCCTTCCACGTTGACTTTCAACTAAGTTGACTTGCAAACGCTCGTAATTTAGAGACGCATTCCTTAAAATGGGTACAAAGGCTTATTGTGGAGTTTTCCTTGGCTAAGACTATCTTTCTGGAATACTTTCATTTTCATATTTGCGGGAGAATGAAGTTTATCTTTGATCTGGCTGATCTGGGAATCTGACCTTATTGAAAGTTATTTAATTCAGCACAAGACCAAGATACCGTTAACACGCGTAGGCTTGCTGAGTAAAAGAAACAGACAGATTTACAGTACAGCACAGAAAGAATGTATGTGCTTCTCTGAGCTGGATGAATTTCATAAATTTCTTAGCACTGAAATTCTCTCAGGCCACAGAGCAACGGAAAGAGAAACTAAGAACAGCCATACAACAACCACAAGCAGGATGTCTGCAGGCCAGAGAACAGACAGAGAAGAGGGCAGGGAGACAGCCCCCAGGGGACGGAGCTCACCTGCATTAACAGCAGCCCAGCCATGGTATTGTAACCAGGACCAGCCACGTTTCCCTCTGGCTTATGGTTTCCATTCTCCACATCCCCTCGAGGCGTCACTTCAGATATTTCAGTCATGTCTCCTGCAGCTTTTCAGACTCAGTTACAGTAAAAGTAGTAACAAGACATGCTGGCTTCATGCAGCCAATAAATATAGCATATCAATACAATTAAAAATAAATAGGCACATACATAGAAATGGTGCCAAGAGGTCACCGCCTCACTTAGTTTCTATTTTGTGACTGTTTTTTAATTGATTAGCACGTGGACTGTGCTTTCAAGGGTGAGTGAATAACTCCAATATTGTGAGTTCTACAAGTAGATCCCGCTGGTTCAGTTAAAAGAGAAAGGAGAGAAGCCGCATTAAGAAAAATAGAACACATGGAAAGAAATCGCAGGTGTCTGTGAAGAGTGAGCTATGAACCGGTATTTTTAAAGGCGGAGCTGGAAACGGTGGTCTCCTGCTGAGTCGCTCCTTTCTATGCGTAAAGCGGAGCAGCACAGTTGGGCAGCCTTAGGGCTAGAATGAGTGCTTTCTTCAAAGCAACAGAGTTTATAGAAATCTGTTAAAACTCTGAAAAAGAAATACTCCACAGTGACATAATTTCCTTGTTTAAATTTCTTTATCCCTATTAAGATAAATATTGAACATGAAAAAAAAGATTAAAAAAAACGAACCATCTAATTTCTCTGGATTATCTAGAGTAGAAATGAATCTGTTGTTAGTCATTGAAGAGACACGTCTGTCAAATATTTGACAGACTGGAGCAGATCCCGATCACTGTGACATAGAAGAAGGTATAGTGGAGGTGGAGATGCACCTTGTCCCATGACACACTGCCCAGAGTTTCCCTGGTATTGCCCATGGATCACAGGAAGTTGTGACTTGCTAAATGCTTAGATTAATGCCAAAAATGACACAACCAATAAAGAAATGGTAATATCTAACTTATAAGGCGTTCTGGTGGTGTAGCTGGTCACCTAATGAGCCACTAACCGCAAGGTCAATGGCGTGAGCCTGTGCGGCACAGGAGTCAGATGGGGGCTGTCTGCACCCATAGAGATGTCCAGTCTTGGAACTCCAAAGGAGCTGCCCAGTGAGTGGATGGATGTGGCAGTGGCAGAGTGGATTGGGCTTTCTCTAGCGTATGCTTCTCCCACCTGAGAAGCCTATTGTTTTTCCTTCACTTTTAAATGGGGTTTGATAAGACTGAAAGTCACTCCATCAATCATCTGCATAAGCGCATTTCCTAATTAGTAATTTGGCATCTTACATGTTTGTCACAATCGATGAGAAATCAGTATTAAGAACATTATAACTTCTCATTAAATAGTCTTTTTTTGGTGGGCATAAATCAGAAACAGATTTTGGGTATTTTTCTTTTCTAGGAATAGCCTTAGAAGTGTTTTGTTCAATTTGTGGTGGTGTTGGGCCAAAGCTGTAAAAAAATACATTTTCTAGTCATATTAATCATTTTATAATTTTATTTATAATCAAAAGTAAACTCATGAAAAATATATATATATTTAAGATACTAAACCTGCAATACTTTATATACAAATTTACTTTATTCTTTTTCAGAAGGTTTTATTTAAACTTTTTGATATTCTGGCATTTGTTCACATAAGTAAGCATAACATGAACAACTCATTTATTAGAAATTATCTTGTGAAGAAGCAAACAAAAATAACTTCTTAGACAATTATTCAATTCAGTTAAACAACAGTTGTACATTGAATAATGTAGTTGTATTTTCATTTGAAATTCCACAAACTCTTTTTAAGAAAGATAAAGCAGACCAAAATAATTTCTAGATGCTTTAAATAGCTAAAGAGAATTTAAGCAAAAAACTAATAGAAAATGAAGCTGAATGTTCTTTTGATACGATGGTAATTTTCTCAGTTTTCATACAAGTAAAAAAATTTTTTTTACTTTAAGAAAAGTATAATGAACTAACAAAATATAAATGTTTTGGTTTCATATATTATTTTTACAATGTATGTGCAAATACATCTTTAAATTTCAGAGGAGACGGTCAGTCAGCAAATGCTTTCTGTAAAGGGTAAACTTCATAGACTGGGGGTGTGGAAGGAGGCGTACGCCCTCCATGGCAACCGCACCACCCTGCCCTGTGCTAAAGCAGCAGTACACACCATGTAAACAAATGGATCTGAATGGGTTTTCGTAATTACTAATCTCCTATCATTAAATTTTCAATTGCTAGATTTTCCAATGACCTCTTTTTCTGTTTCTTACAAATGAAAATAATACGTTGCTCTTTTCTCTGTTAAATTAATTAACATATAAGTTGATCTTGGAAGATTGGTTGAAGGTGAAATGTAGTCAGTATCAAATGTCACATGATGATGTGCTCAATTGTCTAAATTATTTGGAAATCCCTTTGGAAGTGCATTTCAACAATCGGGCTACAATGACTTCTTTTCCTTTACTTGTGTAGTAAAAAACAGTACTAAAACTCAAAAAACCTCACTGCCATCCAGTTGAGTGCAATGCCTAGCAAGCTTATAAAAGGATAGAATTCCCCCTGCGGGTTTCTGAGACTGTAACTCTTCATTTATTTATTTATTTATTTTATTTATTTATTTATTTATTTATTTTTTACTGTAACTCTTTATGGAAATAGAACACCTTGTCTTTCTCCTGCAGAGTGACTGGTGGTTTTAAACTGTTGACCTTGCAGTTAGCAGCCAAATGTCTAACCACCATGCCACCAGAGCTCCTCCAAGACTGTACTAGCAGGGAGGTATTTGCAGAGCGAAAAGGAATAGGTAAACTTCCTGGGCAAATCCCCCCATCCCCAACTCCACATAACTGAGCTTGAATGAACTCTGGCTGGTCCATTGGTTTGGGTCAGGTGCACGTTAATCCTCAAAGTCACATCCTTGCCTCTCAACACTCTAAAGAGGGCTTGAGCAACAGATTTACCCCACGTAATGTGTCATTTGATCTCTTGACTGCTAGGCTGACTTAGTCGGCAAATATTGCCAAGCATTTCTATGTACCACTCACCGTTCTACATTGACTCCAAAAAGCAAACCTGAGTCAGCTAGTCTAATTGGACTCACAGCAAACCCATAGGACAGCGTTTACAAGACTTCACAAGTCTTTGACTTTGCAGGACTTCAAGTTTTGTGAGGGCAGACAGCTTCCTCTTTTTCAGATTTACTGGTAGGTACAAACTGTTAATTATAGGTTAAAAGCTCAAAACATGAGCCACTCCATTGCCAAACTCACTGCCATCGAGTCAATGCCAATGTATGAGGATCCTACAGGACAGGGTAGAACTGCCATTTGGCGTTTTCCAGTCTGTAACTCCTTATGGGACTAGAAAGCCCCATGTTTCTCCCAAGGAGCGGCTGGGAGTTTTGAACTGCTGACCTTGAAGACCACAGCCACTCTACCACTAGGATTCCTCCTAGGGCTCCTTTTGGTCTTAGACACTGGAGACATCATGCTGACAAAGTACATCTAATGAAGTAGAAGAGGGAGACAGCAATAAATACATCAGTGTATGACAGGCTGAGGAGGAGCTCTCTGGCTGAGTGTGCAAGATACCATGAGGAATAGGTGAGCCGCGGCGGCAGCAGACTCAGCCGCGGAGGTCTGAGAGGCACGCCCACCGTTCTTTGCCAGGAGCTTTGATTTCTTCCTAAATCTTCTAAGTCTTGCTAAGAGAGTTTATGTGTTATTTGACGAGCAACAGGAAGCTTTTAGGGGGGTTATTCAGGGAAATAGTAAGAACTGATTGATGTTTCAGAAAACATCCCTCTTGAAGAATGGATGGGCTGTAAATGCATCAAGAGAAGAAGTGGTTCCAGCTACCCCGGACGTTGGCCCATGATAGAGGATTAGCTTCAGGTGTTGATTGTGGAGAAGATGAGAAGTGATGCAAACCAGGGGCATTTTTT